CAGCTTCCAAACATTGTAAGACACTTTTACAGGAGCGAAAAGGGAGATCGTTGTGTGAAAATCCCCCATAGGAAACATCGCTGTGTGAGGCAGCAAATTTGACAGAAAAAGGCATCGTTGTGTGAATTCATCGTTGTGTGAGGCACTCGTTGTGCGAGGCACCACTGTATATCAACCCTAAAAGGGCTTTCAAGATAAGTGTGGCTTTACCAGTTCCACTCACCCAGTGAGTTTCCACGGCTGATCAGGTACTTGACTTTCCAAAGACTTTTTGAATATGAAAGCCCTCCAATCCTTTCTAAATGCACCACATGAATGGTCAGTGAAGTTCCTCCAGCAGACCATTCTAGAGAGCCAACAACACCAAGCTCTTTCTGTGTAGAGCAACCTGACATAACACAGTGACAGAACACAAGGCATTCCACATAAATCCTGCTGAGCAAAAGATAGGGATGGGTTTCCCTGTAGGTACAACAGTAGCAGACACTACATTTGGTGGGCGGCCCTGTTAGCCTGAAAAAACTCAACATGATACAACTGGTAACAGCAGTGGCAAAGAGAAAAAGAATCTCTGTTGCATCCAGCACCAGTACCACTTCCTAAGCTGGCAAAGGAGCTGTATTTCATGCCTTGCTAATCTGGGCAAACATCTCCCACCACCTGTGATTGGGGTCTCTTTTCTCGTTTCATGGTCTGCTGCCCCATGATCCTCCAAGAGGACAAGAGTCTAAATCATTCTCATTAACCACACAATTCGCTGTGAAATAAGGTCTTGACAAAGTTTGTCTGGATCTCTTGGAAAGCACACCAGAAACCCTAAGTGTCCAAGAGCAAATCATCATCATGGCTCAGCCCACTCCCATCATCATAATGTGATGATGATCTCACCATGGCAAATCTCTGACCTCACAGCTCCAAATCCCAGGTGATCAGAACCTGAGCAGAGCAAAACATGTACATGTCATACCTTTATTCTCTTGGTATTAAATTAACTTTGACTAAGTGCTCAAAGTTAATTTGCTTCACTAAACACCATTTCCCTGGAGAAACAATGATCTCGCTTTCATCTCAAGAGGAAATGTCTGACTCACCACACCTAAACCCTATGAAACTAAACCAGCTTCCTGGCTTTTTTTAAAAACCTACGGGGCCTCTGTTTAATCATTGGATAGTATAACCATAAGAGCAGTTACATTGAAAGGCAAAAATGTAATCTCAGGTTTCATTTGAGTATAATTAATGATGTTACATCAGGTTTCAAGTATTTCAGCTTAAAGACACCCTACCATAAATTCAAATTAAAATGCACTTTTATTTCTCAGAGTCTTTACAGGATTCAATTTGCTACTCAGGATCAAACCATTTCTCATGCCTCTGCCTTACACAAACCTTAACTTTCAATATCAGGATACAGTCAAAGGGAGGCCTTCAGACTTCAGATACAGAATACACACAAGTCAGACCAAATCAAATCCACAAAGCTCAACGCAGGGATCCCCAGCATTTAGAGGACAATAGCAAAGACAAATGGTCAAGATCCCTTTGAGAACTTTTAACTCCAATCTGAACTCAATGGAGTTCCGATTACTGTATCTTTACCAGTAGGACTAACCATGTGCTATCTGTAAATCTGTAGTTTCATTATCATTGCCTACAGAATGACAAAATTATTAATATATCTCAGTTCTGAACACTCAGGAATATTGCTTCTTCACTTCAGAGATTCATGCAGGTTGCTGGTTTACAAACTTGACACATCAGTCTTCAAATGTATGCTCTTAATGCAGAACTAATGCATCACTGTAATGTCTGCAGTTTATTCATGTCATCATTATTTTTGTTACTGTCTTTTAAAAGTGGCTAATATAAAAAGCCATTATTACTAGTTTTAAAAATCCCCCTATCAGAATGCACTTATCTGTCAAGCAGTATCTATTGTTTAACACTGGAATGGGGAACCTGTGACCTTCAACCTAATTTTATGCAGTGTGGCATAAAAAGAGAAAAAGTGGCATGGTCTCTCTGTGCATGTATGGGAAACAGCTCGTGAATGTGTGTATGCATGCGATGCAAAGAAAGGGAGGGTGTGCCCAGGGCCCTGTTTATTTTTCATCTTGGCCATTACCAGCTTCAGTTTCAGATTAACTTTGCTAGATTAAGTTTCCCATTACTTAACATGCAAAAAGTATGTGAAGTTACAGTCCTATAAATAAAACTGTTTCGAACTTAAAACGTGCTCTAAACAAATGACAATGTTTGTATAGTAGACTTGGTCACAGGAGAGCCATAAAAAGGGACAGTCAAGATCAAAGCCCCTCTCAGTCTCCTAGATAAACAGCACAGTGTGCAATTCAGAGAGCACAGCCCTTGCTGCTGAACCCAAACTGAAAGAAATATAACAACCATCTTGCTGTATTATTACTGGAAAAACATGTCTGGGAATTAGACTTAAAATACAAGGAAATGCAGAAGCCTGGTTTTCTTATCCAAGACTCCCATTTAATCATTATCCTAACAGAATTAACAGTTGTCTCAAACAGCACGGCATGCTGAAAATGCCACCACACCCCTATCAGACTAAACCACACACGGGGCAATTTGCAAATGGAACCTAACCTCTCATAGGACAAAGGGAGTAGTTGTGGCAGAGATGAGAGAACAGAGAGGGCAGTCTTTGGGGCATGTTGTTGGACTCCTCGTGAGTTTTCTTTCACCCCTTCCCCAAGTGTGGCCAGGCAGCATGCCTCATTTATGAGTTTCTGGCAGGATCAGTTTGGGTGATATATCAATGCAAGAATGCGTCAAATCACCCAGGCCACATTTTGAGAACGCAGCATCACTTCTGAAGCACACATACAGTGGTGCCTCGTATAACGAGTGCACCATTGAACGATGAATCCGCATTGTGATGCGGATTTCCCCATCGCTAATGCGAGGGCACGCTCGCATTACGATGGGGGAACAGCTGCTCTGCGGCTCCAAAATGGCTGCCGGAACACAAAAAATAGGTGCCGGTACACCCAAGATGGCCGCCGGAACAAAAAAATGGCCACCGGAACACCCAAGATGGCCACCGGAACAAAAAATGGCCACCGGAACACCCAAGATGGCCGCCAGAACAAAAAAAATGGCCACTGGTACACCCAAGATGGCCACCAGAACACAAAAAATGGGCACCGGTACACCCAAAATGGCTGCCGGGACGCTCAAAATGGCTGCCGGTACACCCAAGATGGCCACCGGAACAAGGGAAAACATTGGAGAACGGTGAGTTTTGGGCCCATTTGGAACCCCAATTGGGGTTTTTGATACGTTTTACGATGTTTTCCCATAGCGAAGGTTAATCCGGAACGGATTAACCTCGCTATGTGGGGCACCACTGTATTTTATTTATTTACTTATATATTTAATTTCTATCCCACTCCCATTAAGGCCAAGGCACTACTCTGGACATTTACAACACTTACTACAAGAACAAACAATATAACAACCAGCAAAGTAAAGGCAAGAAACACTGCTCAATTTGGAATATAGATCTTTCTTTTGTATAAGAATTGTTGAATTGAATGAACTGAATGGAGGGACAATACGAAGCAAGATCAGTCATTCAAGAAATATAGCTGCTATTAATCTTTAAAATTGTAAATATAATTGATATTTGAGTGCAATCAACAGTGGTTTGTGCAATTGGTCTTAATTTACATATCTGAGCCCTGTGTAATTATTTACACTGTGTAATTATTTTTCACCTACTGAAGTCTGCAGCTTTGTCTCAATAATATCTAACTAAATGAGGTCTATGCAGTAAGTTTGATCTGTTTAACTGACTAGGATCTGCCTAATTAATCTTTTCAAGCAAGTGATATATTGGCAATTAGCGGTCAGTGTATTTAATCTGAATGAAAAATCTTTATTTAAGCCTTTATAAATGATTTTTTTTGGTCTGGGGATAAATGCAAGAAGCAACATCACTTTCTAATGTGTTCTTTTTTCCTTCCATCCATTATTTTAAAGCTCAGTTCTATCCTATTCAGTTATATCAACCTACGCAAGTAAATTAATTTCTCTTAATGATATTGGAACAGAAGAACTGGAAGGGACCCTGTGGATCATTGAGTCCAGCCTCTATCAAGGAGTCACACCGGGGAATCAAACTCCCAACCTCTGGTTCTGCAGCTAGAGATCTAAGCCACTGAGCTATCCAACCGTTCTAAAATACTACAAGTTTAGAAATGAAGAAAATAATAAATGTTTGGATTATAGTTTGGAAACCAAGAACTGATATAAAATACATGCACAATTTTGGATGCAATCTTATGATCTCTAATTCCAAGGACAGCAAGAAGATGAGGTCACTCAATGGAGAGAGACACCCAAACACAACCCCTACAGGAGCCTCTGAAGCACTTATATCTGATGCCATACATTTGATGGTGTTTGTAAAGGCAAAATGGAATATGGTTACTTCACTTTCTAAAAGAGGCTGTGAGTGAATCTGTAGGACACTGAGCCTCCCTATTCCAGCATTCCACTCCCAAACTAAGCGGAAAGGTAGCAAAGGTCCTGTAGCTGGCATAGTTTTTTTCCAGCTGAGAATGAAAAGGCAAGTAATGTGACCCCTGCAAACAGAAACACTCCAGCTAATACAGGTAGAGACATAACAGAGGATGACATTGAACTCTGTGTCAGGCACCAGCTGGTTGTTGGTGTGTGTGTTTTACATACAAAAGAATGTGTACTAATGTGCATACTAATATGCTGTCTGAACTCACCACAGAAACAAAACCACAGAGCAGGAAGAGTCACCCTGCTGTTGCTGCTTAGTTAGGAGTAGGTACCATCCACTTAAGATCTACTGATTATCAAGTCAGTTCATAGCCAGGACATTCTGATGACACAGATTTCCCAACACTCATGTACTAACACCTCTCTTTCGAGTAACCTCAAAACTGAAAGAAGAGAAACAGGGGAACCTTTAGACTGCCATGGGATGTTCTTACCTCATGCGAAAATGCAGGGTCAACTTCATCCCACTATCAACCTCAAACACGTAGTTGGGAGGGAACCATATTTTGGCCTGTGGATCATACAGTGCAAACAAGCTGTAGCATATTGGTGTGATCCCTGTAGCAAACAAGGTTACACAAAAATGTGAAAGATTAGATTTTTCTTGTTCATACCTATTTAAAATAATATCAGACAGATCCTGAAAAATAATTTCCTCAGAATGTAAAAATAGCTGTGGTGGTTCTGAGCAGAAATTTACCTATTCCAGTGTTCTGTTTCCCACATTAGCCAACCAGAGGCCCAGAGAAGCCCAAACAGGACATGTTGCAACTCCAAGGTAGGCATTCATGCATTCATGCATTCCCACTTTTTTCCTCAAGAGGCTTCAAAGCACCTTACAAAACTGACACAAAAATATTACAACAAAAAAAACACTGCACCCAGTTTCTGAGATCCTTCTTTTAGGCAGCCAGTTACTTTCTTGCCTGATAAGAAAGGTGTTTGCCGGCTTGTGCAAAGACAGATACAGTAAGACAGCTTCTGGTCCTGAAAGTAATATATACTGTAGATCTTTCTTTTGTATAAGAATTGTTGAATTGAATGAACTGAATGGAGGGACAATACGGAGCAAGATCAGTCATTCAAGATATAGCTGCTATTAATCTTTAAAATTGTAAAATCAATTGATGTTTGAGTGCAATAAACAGTGGTTTGTGCAATTGGTCTTAATTTACATATCTGAGCCCTGTGTAATTACTTTTACACTGTGTAATTACTTTTCATCTATTGAAGTCTGCAACTTTGTCTCAATAATATCTAACTATGCAGCAAGTTTGATCTGTTTAACTGACTAGGATCTGCCTAATTAATCTTTTCAAGTAAGTGAGATATTGGCAATTAGCGGTCAGTGTATTTAATCTGAATGAAAAATCATTATTTAAGCCTTTATAAATGATTTTTTTTGGTCTGGGGATAAATGTAAGAAGCAATATCACTTTCTAATGTGTTCTTTTTTCCTTCCATCCATTATTTTAAAGCTCAGGTCTATCCTATTCAGATATATCAACCTAGGCAAGTAAATTAATTTCTCTTAATGGTACTGGAACAGAAGAATTGGAAGGCACCTTGTGGATCACTGAGTCCAGCCTCTATCAAGAAGTCACACCAGGGAATCAAACTCCCAACCTCTGGTTCTGCAGCTAGAGATCTAAGCCACTGAGCTATCCAACCGTTCTAAAATGTAACTATCATGACTAATCTGCCACCGATAGCCTTGTACTCTATTAGTTTGTTTAACCTTCTTTTTCCAATTGCTACAGTTCGCAGTCATCACTACATATTAGTGATAGCAAATGCCACCATTTAACAACTGCTATGAGAAAGGCAACAAAGGCTCTATTCCCCTTCTCCATACTGTCCATATTTGAGCACAACTTTAATAATCTTGTCATCCAACAGTCAAAGGGCCTCAGTAGCCAATTCTCTGCTTCTAATTGTATTTAACAGATACTTCTGAAATGTTCATTTCGCATCCTTTATTACTTCTTCCTCATCCTCATCTGTTTCTCTTTCTTCTGAGTTAGAAAATGTTTCCATTTCCTGAAGGACAACTTTTTTCTAAGATTAATTGACATTGCTCATTAACAAAACCCACTTGCAATGTACAGTGCCTCTCCTACTCCATGTTATCCATTGTAGTTAAGCTTACATTATTGTGCTTTTTAATAACTCCCAGACATTCTGGAGAGATTCAACCCCCTTAACATGACTTCCCATTTAACTTCCCTTTTTAAGAAGTTTCCTAATTACTCAAGTCATCTGAACCCACAAATTAAGGCAGCAACCGTGGCAAATGTGTTAATATATGCACGCACCTTATAAGGTACATATATGACAACGTGCTCTTTTTATTTCATCAATGTAATCTGACAGAGAGAGAGAGAGAGAGACTATGCTAGCAATGATCTGGAATATCAGTTGAAGAAACACACAAGCTCTCTGTTGAATCCACTGCATCTATTCTAGTGCCCAGAATTCCCCATGTCTGTCTCTTACACTTTTTATTTTTCTTTTTAGTAGCAAATGCCTACTGCTCTGGAACTCAATGAAGAAATAGAAGCAAATAATATGAAACTTCTCAGTGAGATGTCAGCAAAAATTGAGCACTGTGATTTTTTTATATAAAACATTTTAAAATTTCCTGATTTTTACACAAACACACACACCAAAAAAATGATAAGAAGCCACTGCCTGCAGGACTCTTCCTGTACTAGGCACAGCATGGAAGAAGAAAGGAAAGCAATTCTCAGTTCACAATAAAGCATCTCGCTGATTTATAGAAGTCACACAAAACAGTCAAATTCATTATCCATTGAACTCTGTGCATCAGTGACACCCAGCTTTCCCTAGTGCTGTGGAATTTAAGAAGGATTTGTAGAAACAGAACTGTGCTTCAGACAATATCTTGTGGCCACTGCTCCTTTGGGGTAAGGAAGGACAAGCTCTTTTGGCTGGGTAGAGAGACCTCCAGGTGTAGGCCTAATCCAGCTCACCAAAAGTACAGATCTGGTCTGCCCATTTCAGTCTGGAAAGGAGACACTGGACTAATCGCTGTGGAAGATCATAACAAGATTTCCTCATATTTCATTACACTGTTTTACTATATTACTATTGTGGGTTTTTTTAAAAAAGATATTTCATATTTTTAACAAATTGTACATGAGTGGCTTAAAACACGTATGAAATAAATGTGCAAAATCTAGGCAAACAAGGACCGTACAAGCTACTGACCAATCTTCTGTGCAATGTCAATGCAGATTTCTTCAGCACAAATGGTCCCTTCCATGTAAGTTTGGCATGGTTCTCCTTCTTCCCTCTTCCAGTAGAGATACACCCTCAGGCCTCCAGCAGGTGAAAAGCGGCACCCTTCCATGTCTGATTCACTGTGTTTCACTGCACAGTGGCACAGTGGCATTATGCCAATGGTCCCAAGGCTCTCGCTGGAAGGAAAGAGAAAAACAGGGGTAAAATATGACCTTCAGCAAGTGCATGTTTTGGAGACTCTTACATGTACACTTATTGTCTTTTGAAGCTATCAAGAGAAACCCCCTCCAAGCACCTGAAATCAACAAGAGGAAAAAAGCTCACAGTTCTGTTTTTAAAAGAAAGGAAGCTCAAAGCCAGAATCTATACATTTTGACTGATAGTTAACCACTGTCTCTTGAGGCTGAGTTTGAGAACTTTCCTGTGTGTAACAGAACTTAGAAAGGTATCATTGAGATTACAACTTCCAGAAATTCCTTGGCCATTTATTGACCAAAAAAGCAATGTTCCCACTAGCTTTCATGATGCTTTAGAGAACCTTCAGTCTGCAAACCATCTTCCTCTGTCAGATCTCCCCATCTAATCTCCTATGGGGGTATTGATCTGCCAGGCAGCACTGGTCCATCTGAGAAGGGGGAGAGCAAAGGAAAGACAACAGAACTAGTATCACTGATTGCAGGTCTGATTTTCCAGCTGGTATCTCTGTTTCATTCCATTCTAGCCTCTTCTGGTCAGGGAAGACAAAAGTGGGTGAAACCACCTGCAGCACAGGTTGGATGAACATTCCTTCAGCCAGCTCCCTTTACTTCTCCTTTGGCTTTCCAGGAAGAAAGACAAAGCAAAAAAGTAATGACTGCAGGAGCATTCCTCTGATTTGCAAGGAAAGAAAGTAGAGCTTCAGAAGACCTTGTCCTGTTTCACAAAAGCCTCACAAGATGCCAAACCACTTTAGACTTTAGAACCAGGTAAAATCATGAATATTAATAACATTACTGGATGATGTTTACACATTAAAGGCATTATAAAGAGCCCTTTGTAGAACTCGTAATGTAACAAGAGGAGCATTATGCTGCCTGCACACAGTTTTGTACTGAAGCAAAGGGAGTTCAACCCCAATACAGTTCAAGAAGTTCTGCACTCACAATTACACATTAGTACTTGTAAATTGGAGTAAATCTTACTTGTTTTGTAAATCTAGAATTCTATATTTAACACTTCATTGATCGAAAAGCCACCACTCTTTTGGTGGTGTCAAAAGAGAAGAGATATGGACAAATGATGGACAATTGAAATACATGGCTTTGAGGATGAGGTACACAAAATGCCAATCCTGATATTATGCGAAAATTGTTAGATTCTGTTTATGTACATGCTGAAACACCCAGTCCACCTTTACTCATTGAGTCTTAACCATAAAGGACAGCCTTACATAAGGACTTACAAAAGACTGCCTTAAAACACAAAGGACTGCCTTGCATAAACCATTCTAAACCACAACAAAAATTTAATCCAGCATGGATTAGTCCTCCACATGTAGCAGACCTGAAACTCTCATGAACCCTAACAAGAACAGCTAGAGGAGAGGGATGGTAACAGTTGCAATCTACTGTAACAACATCTTGAGAGCTACTCACTGCCCATGCTCTCAAGAGGAGACACTCCTGTGAGATAAGCACTCACACTTCTGTTTAGAAAACAAACCAAAGAAACATCCGTAAGTGAATCTAGATAACCTGGTCAAAATTAGGAAACATTGGACACTACCAGCAGCAATGATTTTCACTAGTTAAAGACTCCTTGCTTCTATACAAGGAAAGAGATTACACAGGAGCCATGGATGCTAAGGCACAGAAGTAGACAGCGTTTAATTTCTGAAAATGCCCCCCTGTTGAAAATGTCATTAGCCTTATGTGGGCGCAATTACACCAACAGGATCTCAGCCATCATGTGCTACTTGCTAATGTCAGAAACACAAATTATTTGTTGTGGAACAGAGGATCGCAAGCATATTTGTCATCACCCTCTATGCCCTTTGAGCACAGACTGAACTACAAGCACTACAGTAACAGATCACCTTCCACATGTCTGGCTGCTGTACTAAATAACATCTGGCTATTCACTTGGAAGAATAGTTAAACAAAAAGATGATTTAGATCAAACTGTTCTCCTTATTGACTCAAATAAATAGCTGCCCTATGGCCTGTGGGCAAATCAAGTTCTATTTGCTTTAAGGGGAGGAGAAGTCTAAAACAAGAAATGCTTTCAGTCCAAACAACCAGGGAGAGCACAAGAAATAATCCATCCTATGACTAACTGCTTAAAAAAAAACCCCAAACACAACAAGATGTACAACACTGTCTTCACTTCATTGATTTCCAGCACACATCTGAAGGTCAGCCTTAGCAAATCCCCAATTCTTAACCTTCTCATCTTCCCTTAAGGTTTTATAAAGCACAAGAGACAAGAGAGATAGCAGTCACTTTTTCTCTGGAAAACCTGGTTTCCTTCAAACCAAGTACAGAAAATCTGTTACACTTTCAGCCAGTCTGCACTAGAGATCAGCAACCAGGAACTACTAGGATACACAGCTGCAAACCTGTCTATACTCATTGCAAGCTGATATATAAGGGCACATAGAATTGACCTAACAATAACTAAGAGGAATCGTTCACCACTCTAGGCCCTAACAGAAAGGGGTGAGCTCTACTGCTTGCTTGTACAGTACATCCTTCCTTCTTTTTAGGAAGGGAAAGACTGGCATAAACTTGGGAAACAAGATTTTTCTCCATAGTAACATGCTGACTGGCTCAACAGGAGTTGTGGGCCAATAACATCTGGAGACGTCCACCCTACTCCATAGCATGCCAATTTTCAGCCTCTATTCCCACCCACATCTGTGGAAAATGATGGGAAGAAAGCAAAGTGGATTTTAAAAATCTATTTTTAAAAAATCAGATTGATTTAAATAATTATTTAAATTTTAAGAAAGTCATTGTTGATTTAAATCATCAAAGAAATTGGATTTTTTTAAAAATTTAAATTGTGATTTTAATCAATTTTACATAAATCAAATTCACCTTGGAAGAAAGCTGGAGCCAGGGACAAAAGGAGGAGCAACAATTGTTCCTTAAACAGATAACAGATCGTGGGGAGAGATACCACAGCCTTCCAGCCACTAACCATGCATTGGTAACTAGTCCTCAGCTCTTTTCATGCAACACAGCTGCAAAAGCAGCCTGCAAAAAGAATTGTATTTATGTCCCTGCAAGAACAATAAGCTCTATACACCTGCAAATCTTATAGCCAGGTCTCCAGGACAATGTCTTCTTTACAGAGTGAATAAAATTCAATGTTTTTTTTAATCTTGACTTAAATTTTAAAAATTGATTTTTAAAATTAAATTTAAAAAACAATTTTAAAAATGGAAATTGCCAAAAAAGCAATTAAAAAAAATTAAATTATGAATTAAATTATGATTTAAACTGATCTGATTTAAATCAAGCCCATTGTGGTCTATGAAATCCTTCAGCATCACATACAGCACAATATCTCGTTCCAGCACAAATGTAATATCCCACAATGACAGCAGTTGCTAAGGTGATGTCAGAACCTGATAAAGATACTTGACTCCCCCAGACAAAGAACAGAAGTCTAGGATTTATCATAGCTGAGATTCTCCTAGTAAAGAGTTAACCCAGATTGAATCCAGGCAATCACTGACAAGCTTTTCCAAACTCATCTGGGTATCTGATTATAAAACTTTCCTTTTTTGCAATAATTCTAGGCAATTCCAAAACTTACCACTAAAAGTTTAATTTATTTACATCACTTCTAGGTTCCATACTTAAAAATAGCAAATCCAAAAAAATTCAGTCTTATAGTTGTGAGGAAAAAAATGTAGGGCATATGCTTAAATTCAAAATTCATACCATTATGCAATACTGTAGGCTTACTTAAAATATATCCTTGCAACTTGCAACAAGATACAGGTATCGAAGCTTACATTATAGGCAAAATTCAAACCATGTTTGAATATAAAATACAGAAACATTAAAACACAGGAGCTCATAGACCACAACGGCAGAGAACACACCTCTAGAACAATTCAAAGTCCTTAGAAATAAAACTGTAAAAAGCAAAAGCCTTATAACTTTCAGTGACAGGCCTAAAAAGTGTTTAAAGTTTAAAAGTAAAAAATATACAAAGTAAAAGCATGATTTAGCTCTATGCATGACATGAGCACATGCAAAAAAAAAAAATATTTTCTCACCCAGCTTTATGTTAAATCCATTGCTGGCCACCAGTGCCACACTTTATCTTTCTGCTATCCTAAAGACGTTCGCCTGCCATCAGTTCCATTGTTTTACAGCACTTCGCAAAAACAAAGCATGTTTCTTTCTTCATTCTCTTAGTCAAAACAAAATCTTCACTAGTCTTGGGTTTCCCAGCTTCTGAGAAGCTCAGAAGTTGAAGGACACAGGAGTTAGCAATCTGAGACCCTGCAGAGACCAGGTCCTGGCTTCCTCAAGGTCTAGCCAACTGATCTGAGCTAAAAGCTCTGCCTATAAGGTCTAAGCTAAAATTCCCCCTCCCTTGAGCAGTACTGGTTAGTATAATGCAGCATAGTGTCAATACAATACAGTACAAATGTATATTACCAGTTAGGTCTGGAAATAATTGGACATTGGTACAAGTTTTGTTATTTTGTCTGTTTACAAAAAAAATTCAAGTTATAGTTAAATAGTGAATATGGGCTTCAAGTGTAATCTGTCAGTTTTATTTTGAGGGTATTCACATGCAAATCGGAGGAACGGTTTAGGAATTAACACTCTTTAATATGTAGCCCGGGGTGGGCAATTAATTTCTATAGGGGGGCCACATGAAAAATCTGAACTGTGTTCGGGGACCGAACCAACTTTACTTAAAAATAAAATGAAACAGTGATGTTATGATTGTTTTTATTTTAAACTTGTTAATCTTCACAAATACTAAAGAGTTTTTTTTGTGGTATGTTGAAGATAAGCAACTGATCAACTCTAGACAAAAAACTATAAATGGTTTTGATGTTCAAAACTGTACGTGGGCCGGACAGAAGTGGCTCGTGGGCCATACGTGGCCCTGGGGCCACACTTTGCCCAGGTCTGATGTAACCCCTTCTTTTTCAAGGGACCAAAAG